CTTCCTGGGTCATCAAGTCCAGACCCTGTTATCCCAGGCTACCCTGGCATATTGTATCCCATTTGCAAATATATCAAACTAGTTAGAGCAGTGACACTCAGACCACCGTGGTTCAGGAGCCAAATTAGCGATCAGCATCACCCAAAAGAGCCCCAGTCGTATGAAATCAGTGTCATTTACTCTAGGGCAGTGGTCACCACCCGCTCGATTGACCGGTCAATCCTAGAGACTCTCCCAGTCGATTGCCATCTCTGGCAGGGCCCCAGGCCCATGCTTCTGGGGGGTTGTCTCCTGCATGCTGCTCCTGCCTGAAACCACTGCTCCCATTGGCTGGGAAGAGGGAGCTGTGGCCAATGGGAGATGCAGGGTTGTTGCTCGCAGGCAGGAGCAGCATGCGGAGCCTTCCCCCCCCCCCCAGGGGCTGTATTGGCCCCTTCTGGGAGCAGTGTGGGGCTGGGGCAGGTGTGGAGCCTGCTTTAGCCTCGCTGCGCTGCCAGCTGGGAGCCAACCAAGGTAAGTGCTGCCCCGTGAGAGGCTGTACCCAGCACCCCATACCTCCTCCTGCACCCTAAGCCCCTGTCCTAGCCCTGAGCCCCCTCCTGGAGCCAGCACTCCAAACCACCTCCTGCCCCCCAGTCCTGATCCCCTGCCCCAGAGCCAGTACCTTAACCCCCCCCTGCACCCCAGCCCTAACCCCATGCCCCAGCCCTGATCCCCCTCTGAGCCAACACCCTGCATGCCCTCCTGCACTCCAACACTGCCCAAGCCTGGAGCCCCATCCTTCACCCAAACACCCTCCCAGCACTTGCACCCCTCACCATGTCCTGCACCCCAACCCCTCGGCCCCAGGCTCAGCCTAGAGCCCCCTCCCACACTGCAAACCCCTTGGCCCCTGTCCTAACACAGTGAAAGTGGGGGGGGGAATGGAGGGAGTAGGGAGGGGACTTGGGGAAGGGGTGGGATAGATCCTGGGTTGCCCTTAAATTCAAGAAGTGATCTTGGGTGTAAAAAGATTGGAGACCACTGCTCTAGGGCTATAGATGTTTAAACAGGATGGGGACTATTTAGTTGCATATTATATTCTCTCACTAAAATGACAAAGTATTACTATCTTATCAGCTACAATTGGTTAACAACACAGTAAAAGCATCCTGATTGGTTAATAAGTTAATAACTAAATCAGTGTTTTAATATCCTGTGCTGCAAAGAGCTACAGGAGACGCATTAAATTACTCCTAGGGGAATTCTGTGACAAAACATAAATAAAATATGAAGAATTTTTAGTTGAAACTGCCATGATTATATTGTGTATTTTCAATTATTTGATAATTGATTTCAAAATATGTCAGCAAGTATGTCTGTAACAATACAGACCAAAAAGAAAAAAAGATTCTGGTAAAAAAAATTTTTTAACATATTCCTTACTGGGTATATGAACACAGAACTTTGAGTAATTCATTTAAATTACAATACAGAACTGTATTTCTTGCACCTCAGAAGCAGTGCAAAGGTTTGGGAGAGTCAGGGGTAAAGGAGGAGCTGAGAAGCCTGGAATGAATTTGGAGGGTTGTTGGGTGTGGGTGGGAGAAGCTCCAGAACACAGGGGTTTTGGGGGGGGGGGAGGGGAAGGGGCAGGATTGTTGGGGAGCCTCCCTCATGCAGACCCTGGCTGATCCCAAACCTCTTCCATTCAGTCAGGCACATCTGCCCCTGTCCCGGCAGGGAGCCCCCCTGCCCCACATCCCCTATGTGGCTATGAACCCTCACTGCCATTCTGAACCCCAGACTGTGACCCCCTCAGCGTTCCTGTGTGCCCTACTCTGTCCTAACCCGGCTCCATGGGCCAGGTGCTGTGATGAACTTTCTACTCCTGGGGGAATTCTGTGCTACTGGGCATGCACAGATCCCCCCACCCCACCTTCTGCCCCAGAAGTGCTGCAGTTCTACCTTTTGCCCAGCAGAGGCCGCTGTGGCACCAGGCCAGCCTGCTGCGTTCATGCTGTTGGCTGTTTTGGCACCACAGCGGCTCCTGGTGGGTGAAAGGTGGAACTGCAGCACTTCTGGGCAGAATGTATTTTCTGCAGAAAACAATGATGCAGGACACATGAATTCTGCACATGTACAGTGGCGCAGAATTCCCCCAGGAGTAACATTAAAGAGCCACTGGCAGCATGTGAGCCCCACTCAGAGTATCACAGAGTTTGCACCCACTCCTGTTACTGGAGGCTGTTCCAGAACCTGGCTCTTCTCCTGGTTAGAAACATTCTAATTTCCAACTTAAGAGTATTAATGGCCATCTTATCCCCTTTGGGTTTTGTGCCAACTCTCTCCTGTAGTTTAAATAGCTCTTCACCCCCTCTGGTGTTGAGAGAGCAATCAGATCTCCTCGCACCTGGAGTTTTGCCGGGCTAAACAAACCAACCTCTCGTGAGATCTGCCTTCCATTCCCCAATCATCCTCACAGTCCTTCTCTGCACCTGTTCAAATTAATCTTTCTTGAACATGGGTGACCAGAACTCCATAGTGTCCTAGATGAGGCCGGGCCAGTGCCCTGTCCAATGGCATTAACACATCCATTAACCGAGGCTCCAGGGCGCTGCCGTATCGTTACGTTTAGGGGGGATTCTGACTTAGAGGCATTCAGTCATAATCCCACAGATGGTAGCTTCGCCCCATTGGCTCCTCAGCCAAGCACATACACCAAATATCTGAACCTGCGGTTCCTCTCGTACTGAGCAGGATTACTATTGCAACAACACATCATCAGTAGGGTAAAACTAACCTGTCTCACGACGGCCTGCTAAACCCAGGGTTGTGAGTTCAATCCTTGAGGGGGCCACTTGGGGATCTGGGGCAAAAATCAGTACTTGGTCCTGCTAGTGAAGGCAGGGGGCTGGACTCGATGACCTTTCAAGGTCCCTTCCAGTTCTAGGAGATGGGATATCCCTGTCTCTACAGGAAATGCCTCACCTGATGCATCCTCGGATCACCTTTGTCTTTTTCACAGCCACAGCACATGGGTGTCTACAACTATAGTAATTCTGTGATGGACTGATACGCAAGTCTTTCTCCTCTGCTTCCAGTTGGTGAGCGCCCAGCTTAGACCAGAAATTCTTACAACCTCCTAAATCCATGACTTGAACTTTATACTATTAAATTCATCCTATTTCTGTTACTCCAGTCCTCACGGTCATCCAGTCCTCCCTGGGCAATACTCTGAGCCTCCTATGGGCCAACCATGCTCCCAGCTTTGAGATATCACATTTCATTAGCACACTCCTACTTTTTGTGCCAAGGTCATGAATTAAAATAAGTAAATTAGTTCAGTCCCAAGCCAGATTTTTGAGGCACTCACCTGCTAACCTTCCTCCAGCTGAATAGTTCTTTCAGCACAGCCTGTTGTCATCTCCCCTTTAGCCAGTTCCTTAGCCACCCTACAGATCTTCTGCTGATCCCATATTCTCCAGCTTTACTCATTTCCCATGTGGCATCATATCAAATGCTTCACTGAAATCCAAATTGATCCATTTCCCTTGCCAAGAGAAGGTTATTGTCTCAAAGAAAGCTCAGGTTAGTCTGGCACGATCTGCCTTTGGCAAACCCATGGTGCCTTTATCCCTTTACTTCATTAATTTAATTATATTTTTCTTCAAAATTTGTTCTGAAGTTTGCACGCTATGAAGAGAGACCAATGCGGCTGTAGTTGCCTGGATCACTTTTTTCCCTTTCTTAAATATAGAATATAGTAGTTCTGTAGCTACTATTCTCTAGTGATATGGTGCCTCCCCAGTCTGATAGATTTGTTAACAATCCTTTCTACCGGACTTGCCAGTTCTTGTGCCACTTCTTTCGGTGTTCTGGGCTGGAGATTATCTGACACTCATGACTAGACTGCATTAAGCTCTTGAATGTTACTTCCCTCCATTTCCACACACTCATTGCCTTTAGCCATCTTGCCTTTCCCCTACGGTTCAGTTGGACTGTTATCAGTCAGTTCCCTTTTAGTAGCCTTGTCCCATGAGCTCGGTCTTTAAAAATCTGCCCCTCCCCAGGGGGCTTTTTGTGGCTGAAGGAAATGCCTAGGCTGGGCGTGTGAAGACACTGGTGAACATCTGTATGAAGCACGGCCCATGGGAGTGCTCCAGCCCTGGGCTGCTGTCACTGCAGGGCTTCCCCAGACAAGAGTAGCTGCTCTGGGGATGCTGTAGAAGTGAATGAGACAGCCCTGGAGCAAGCCCTTTCTGGGTCCTGACATCGCAGTACTGCAGAGGGCTCAGGGTCTCCCCACCCTTTTTAAGGAGTGTGATTGCCCTCAGCCAGCAGGTCAGACACTTTCAGGCCAGGAGCATAAACAGCCACTCTGCTAGAAAGTGATGGAATGTAATAACCACCTAGTGCTCCCCACCAGCGCTGCCTGGCCCCTGCTGCTGCTCACGGGAACAGGGTACGACAGCGCTTCGCAATCTGGGAGATTCAGCCGCTAACAGTCTGTCGCTGGGCTAGTGCCACACCTGAAGTGGAAACATTTGTCACCAGGATGTTCCTAAGGCTTCCTTAGTAACAGAACGAAGAGCTGAGACTTTTCAGTCGGGCCGTAGGCAGTGTGGACTGGAGGCATGAAGCTAAGGATTGGGGTTGGGTAGTCCTTGGGCCGATCTCTTTATCTTTGTCTAAAATGGGACTCGTGCTTACCCCGCTGGCTGGGAAGGGTTATTCAGTTTGGCTGTACAGTGCTGTGAACAGCCAGGAACTTTGTGGCTGCTAAGTGGTAAATTGATTGTCTCGCTAAAGATCGGAAAGTGCAATAGTCAACCAGCTGGGCAAGATGGGGCTCGACCTGCCTGCACCTGTCTGGCCAGGGCCTCTCTCTACATCGCCCACAGCCCTTGTTCTCTGGGCGCCAGGTGGACGCTTCTTGTGATAGGGGCTCCTAGGCAGAGCTGCTGAGTGGCAGAGCTGAGCTCCACGAAGAGGAATCTGGTGACCAGGGTTGTAGGCATGTAACTTTTACACTATTTATTGGAAATATAACTGTCCCGCTCCTTCATTGCTCCCCCGGGCCATGCGCAGGGGGGGCAAACGATTAATCAAGACAACAGCTGAAGTTATGTAGCAGAAACACATCTCTGGGGGATGGAAACAACAGCTGTGGGCTCCTGCTTCAGACAGGTCCAGCCTTCTCGGCCGCTCCAGCCAGCCCGGTCAGCTGCAGGGCCTGCTGCTTAATTCCGAACAGGCCCCAGAGCTTTAGGAGCATCCCTTCCATCATGGACTCATCCTTGTTTGCCTGGAAAGGAGGGAGGAAAATAATAAAGGCTAATCCCCAGCTTGTCAGCAGAGCAAGTGGAGGCAGGGCCAAGCAACAGTGTTCGGCTGGGTGCTGGGAGCCAGCTGTGCTGAATGTAAACCTTCCACCTGCTTCACAGCCAAGCACGCCTGCTTCTGAGTGAGGCTGCCTCCTGCCCAGCCACCACAGGCCTAGGGGGGAGCTTGGGCACGGAGCCCGAGATCTGTACCTACCCTGGCAGACGCTCGCTCCTCGCTGAAGGTCGTCAGCAGGCCAGAGACAAACAGGTTAATGACCACGTACAGCATGGATATGACACTGGTGGTGATCAGCAAGGACCCCAAGACTGGGTCTAAGTTGATAACCTAGAAGGCAGCAGCACAGAGCCCAGGATGAAGGGGGCACAAGTACAGAGTCATGCTTCCACCTGGGCCTCTCCTTAGACCTGCACAAGCAGCTGCTCCCAGGGCCTCTTACAGAGGCTGTGTTTAACTCTGGGGCACATGCAAATGTTGCCAAACTTCCAATCTGCACAAATGCCTGTGCCTATAGCACATGCCCTGCGAAGGGGCATGTCCCAGTGGAGGCTGAGAGCTCCCTGTGGGAGGCCGAGCTGCGTGCTCGCTCCGAGGGGAGTGTGGAGTTGGCAGCAGCCCTGGGTGAGGAAGTGCCTGGTACCAAACCTGGGGTGAGTAACTGCACAGCTCCACTTCTGTGGGCCCCACCCTCTTGTTTCTCCTGCTACACTGGGATTGGAAGGGCAGCAGCAGGTCCTTGATTGCACTGAGCCCTGTTCTGGGGGAAACAAAATGGTACCAGGCTCAGGGCTCTCACCGTGTCATAGTTAAAGATCCCGATCAGGAGCCCAACAATGGTCACAGACGAGCTGAAGAAAGTCTTGTAGTTCACGATGCTCCAGCCAAACAGGAGGTTACACTGGTCAGCAATGAAGGAGAAGGACGGTGAGGGAGAGAGGGAGGACGGAAAGGGGAGCGTGCAGTGTGAACATAACGGCCAGACTGGGGCAGACCAAGGGTCCATCTAGCCCAGTGTCCTGTCTGCCGACAGTGGCCAGTGCCAGGGGCCTCAGAGAGAATGAACAGAGCAGGGAATCACCGAGTGACCCATCCCCTGTCGTCCATTTCCAGCTTCTGACAAACAGCGGCTAGAGACACCATCCCTGCCCGTCCTGCTAATAGCCACTGATTGCCCCATCCCCCAGGAACTGATCTCGTTCTGTTTTGACCCGCTACAGTGTGGAATTCATGGCCCTGCTGCTTCTGCCCAGTGGAACATGCTTTAACCCCCCTGCCTCTCTGTGCCCCCCCCCCACCACACACGCCAGGGCCGGTGCCAGGCCCCTGCAGAGCAACTTACAGCCATGGAGTAGCCCACCAGCAGCAGCAGCAGCACCAGCAGGAAGCCCAGCACCTCCTGCCAGGCTCGGCGCAGCGTGCCGCTGATCAGCTGCATTCTGGGGCTGAGGCGCAGCAGGTTCCACAACTTCCCCGTGGCCAGGGCGACCAGGAAGGCCAGTAGGTAGGTGAGAGCAGAGGCCACTTGCGCTGCCTCGTAGAAACTGACAAACCTGCCCCAAAGAGGAGTGGAGCCCGTCTGCACACGTCCCCAAGCGCGTCCCAGCGTCCCGCAGCCCCTGGCCCACCCAGCAGCAGAGATGGGGCCTCGTAGGCCCAGCACCGGGCTGCGTTCCCCACCCGCCCCGGGGGTGGTGCAGTGCCGGTTCCCCCTGGCTGCTGGTTCCTCCGGGAGCAGGTGGATGGTGACTCGTGGGAAGCAGGGGCACTGCGCAGGCGCAGGGGCTGGGAGTCGGAATACCTGCCCTCTATTCCCCGCTCTGCCGTGGGCCCTGTGAGCTGGCTAAGCCGTCTGGCCAGGAGCTGGGGGTGTGGGGTCTAGCCAGGGGCTGAGCATTCTAGCAGCAGTGTGAGTGGGATTGGACTAGGGCAGCCGGCTGCGCACGCCGCTGGGGCCGCATGTCTGTTGTAGCACGCTAGCCTGATGAGAGTCAGCGCAGGGACTTCCAGCTCCTGTGGGCTGCACCCTCGGTGTCCCTCTCAGCGCAGGGGGCCGGGCCGTGGGGAGTTGGGAAAGTCCAATACGGAATGTCTGTAAGACGCCAGGAGAATCTCTCGATCCCGGGGCTGTAGCAGCTCGTACTCCAAGGCTAGAAGGGACCGTTATGATGCTAGAGTCTGATGGCCTGTACAGCCCGGGCTAGCGGCTTTCCCTCCAGCAATGCCTGTTGGAACTAGACTGTGGCTCCAGTCGCGATTCAAAAACTGCCCGTGATGGGAATTGACACAACCCCTGGTAAGATGTTCCAATGGTGAATTCTCTTCTTAAACTTTTACACCCGATTTCCAGTCTCAATTTGTCCAGCTTTGACATCCAGCCCTTGGATCACGTTAGATCTTTGTTTGCTACTTTGGTCCTGTTTTCAAAGCTCTGCTCCCCTGTAGACACTTAGAAACTGGAATCCAGTCAGCCCTTAACCTTCTCTTTTCTAGCTAAATACATTGAGCTCTTTGAGCCTCTCACTCTGAGGCAGGTTTTCTGATCCTTTACTCATTCTCCTGGCTCTTCTCTGAACCCTCTCCAATTTATCAACATCCTGTTTGAACTGGACACAGTATTCCAGTGCTGACTGCACCACTGCCAAATACAGTGCAGAGGTAAAATAGCCTCCAAGGATTGTATTAGCGCTTGTGGCTACAGCTTCACACCGGGAGCTCATAAGTCTTTTTCAGAGTCCCTGCTTCCCAGGGCAGAGTCCCGCGTCCTGTAGGTGTGGCCTGCATTCTGTGCTCCTGAGTGCCCTACCTTACAACTGCCTGTAGTGAAACACACAAAGGGTAGGTCTAGACTTACCTCCGGGTTTGGCGGTAAGCAATCCATCTTCTGGGATCGATTTATCCCGTCTTGTCCAGACGCGATAAATCGATCCCGGAAATGCTCACCGTCGACGCTGGTACTCCTGCTCCGCGAGAGGAGTACGCGGAGTCGACGGGGGAGCCTGCCTGCCGCGTGTGGACCCGCGGTAAATTCGAACTAAGATACTTCGACTTCAGCTACGTTATTCACATCTCCATATATATCTCCTCAATATATGTTCCATTCTATATGCATCCGAAGAAGTGGGCTGTAGTCCACGAAAGCTTATGCTCTAATAAATTTGTTAGTCTCTAAGGTGCCACAAGTACTCCTGTTCTTCTTATAGCTGAAGTTGCGTATCTTAGTTCGAAGTGGGGGGTTAGTGTGGACCAGCCCAAAGTTTGCTTGCGCCCAGCCTACCAAGCAATCCAAATCGCTCAGTGACTTGTCCTCTTCTTATTTACCACTCCCCCAATTTTGTGTCACCTGCAAACTTTATCAGTCAGCCGTTTGTCTTCTTCCAGGTCACTGATAAAAATATTAAATAGCCTCGGACCAAGAGCCCTGAAGGACCTCACGGGAACACTCTTGCTCAGGGGGTCCCGTTCACAGGTACATTTGAGAGCTGTCAGGTAAGGAGTGTCTCATCCATTTACTGTCTGCCCCATTGACCGCGTCTCACTCTAGCTTTTTAATACCACTGTCGTGCAGCACCATGGCAAAGGCTTCACAGGCCCTATTGCATCAGCATCATGAATCCCCTTCATCAACCAAACCTCGAGGGTTATCCAAAAAGAAAAGCTACTTTGACAGGCTCTGTCTTCCATCAACTCCTGCTTCTGCAAAGCACGTTCTCTGCTGCTCCCCCCAGGCCGAGGCGGCAGAGACAGTGGGGGATTGTGGGATGGTCCCTGCAGCCCAGCTTGCCTGCTAAGATGTCCTTGGCGTGGAGAGAGATGCAGCTGGAGGCCTGCTCTGACCTGTCTGGGGGCCCCGTTTTCACAGCTCCAGGGCAGGACACGGGGCAAATTCCAGTTCAAACTCACTCAGAAAGGATTTCAGTAGCCTCCATCACCCACCTCTGCCCATAGGTGCTGGAAATAGGGGTGGTGCCGCACCCCTGGCTAGGAATGGGGTGGTGCCGCACCCCTGGCTGGAAATAGGGGTGGTGCAGCACCCCTGGCTGGAAATAGGGGTGGTGCCGCATCCCTGGCTGGAAATAGGGGTGGTGCAGCACCCCCTGGCTGGAAATAGGGGTGGTGCCGCACCCCCTGGCTGGAAATAGGGGTGGTGCCGCATCCCTGGCTAGGAATAGGGGTGGTGCCGCACCCCCTGGCTGGAAGTGGTTTCCATTATATGCAGGGTTTACAGTTCTCAGCACCCCTGCTTCTGTCTTTGAGGGAGAGAGAGAGCAGCGTCCCTCAGCCAGTCAGGCCTTGTCTGGCTGCCCCATAGCTACTCACATGAAAACGTGGCTTCTTTGCAAAGAGGCTGACTGGCCAAAGGGTGAGAGGCGGATGAGGCCTGCCAGAGGAGGTGAGGCCTCCGCAGTTCGGTTAGAGCACGTTCCTCAGAGCACAGCCCCGCACAGCGCCCTAGGACCCCCTTGCAGCCTGACTTGGTAAGTGGAGTGGGGCTTTGGAGGCCTGAGAGCCTATTGGTGACTGAGCGCCCGGCCCTGCAGCAAAGGGCAAGCGGCTGCATTGTGCCAGGCCAGCGGCTCAGGGGCCTGCCGCTCAACCATGGCTCTGGGTATGGAAGAGACTTGTCTGGTTTGTGCTAGAGGTGACAGCATGTCTGCCCTGCAGGAGCTCTTGGCCCCACCCTGCTCTCTGGGCCTTGCTCCCTGCCCCCCCGGCTCACCGGCTGCGGTCCTGGTGATATTTCTCCATCACACTCTTCTGCAGGAGACGGCACTTGATGTACACCCCAAATGCTGCAAGGCTGATGAGAATGATGCTTATGTCCAGCACGTTTCTCTGGCTCCTGAAGTATCTCCACTTCTGCTGCTTCAGCCGCCGCCCCTGGACACCGGGGACGTGGTCAGGGAGTGCCCTGTGAATCCCTTACTCAGCCGGCGCGACAGCCAGTGCGAGGGGCTCCGCTCAGAGCAGAGCGAGAGGCCAGGCTAGGGGAGAGCCTGAGACAGGGAGTGGGCAGCCGGCAGAGCGCACTAACGGCGCTGCGGAGTGGGAGCACGAGGCCCAGCTCAGGGGCTGGACACGGGCCTGTCGGGACGCAGCGGATGGGCCAGCGGCAGTGTTTGTGCTGGGAGGGTCCCCCGGAGTGAAATTAAATGCTGTGCGCTCACCGCCAGGGACGTGCCACCTCCTTGGAGCAAGGCAGGAGGGGCTCGTGAGAGCAGGCAGGTGCGCGCCAGGCCCTGCTACCTGTCCTCACGCCCCGCCCGGCTCACCTGCACCCAGAGGTAGAAGAGCAGCAGCAGGAGGTAGGTGACTTGCGCGCAGGTCAGCTGGGTCAAGCCGCTGCTGCTGTAGAGCCGGATGCTCTGCAGCTCCGCAGAGGGGAGGAAGGCACCTGAGAGGGACGAAGGCAGCGGGAGAGGAGAGCACTCGGCTCTGGAACTCACCACCTTCCCTGCCTCCCTTGGAGCAGCCCCGAGGGGCTGGACAGGGGGAGCTGGGCCCTGCTCGGGGCCCCTGGGGCAGGACAGTGCCGGCAGGGGCTGGCTCCTGTTTCTACTAGCTGTGCCCACTGGCCCCTCTGCCGTCGGGCATTTGCCCTGCCCTCCCACTGTGGCCGCCCTGGCTGCTGAGGGAGGCACCCCGCCGCTGGGAGGAGCTGGGGGCGCGGGGGCTCTCTTGGGGCGTGAGCTGCCAGGCCTGGCTCACGGTGGGGCCACCGACCTGTCCCGGGGGTCTCCAGGAGCAGGGTGACCACACATAAGAGGTTCACATTGGCGTTGTAGACTGTGAACTCCACGAAGATGGCGCAGCTGCATCCATCCAGCCACCGGCTCCGCTCCAGGTACCGCAGGACACTGCAGGGGTGGGGGCTGTTACAGGGTGAGGCTGGGAGCCCGGGCGGCAGGACACTGCCCAGGAGAGCAGCCAGCCTGGACCCGGGCCTGGAAAGAGCAGCAGGCCAGGAGCACCGGGGCATGTGCTAATGGCCAGTGATTCACCACTGACCCCCCCTGCATTGGGGGCCGGCTCCTCTGACAAGGGACCGTGCGCCCCACCGGACCCCCGGGCCTGCTCAACTGCCATGGGGCCACCCCACCGGACCCCCGGGCCTGATCGGCCGCCATGGGGCCACCCCACCCCCACAGGAGCCCCGGGGCTGTCCCCCCCACCAGATCCTCGGGGCCATCCCCCTCAGTGGACCCCCAGGCTCGCTCGGCAGCCATGGGGCCACCCCTCCCCCCCCCACCGGAGCCCCAGAGCCCTGAAATGCTCCCCACGCTGCCATTCTTTACAGCCCCCTGCTGCTACCACGTCCCTTCAGTCCCTGGTGCCTGAGGCCCGGGCTGGCTGCTCGGCGCAGCGCAGGGCTGCACAGGGGGAGTGCGGGCAGGTCCAGCACCCCGCCAGCCTGGAGAACAGGGCCTGACAGACACATGGAGTTCGCTCAGTTGAGGGATAGAGACCGTATCTGTCCCCACAGCAGGAGGCTGCAGCGATGGCAAAGCGGAGCCAAGCCGGCGGCACAGAGGCCATGGGGAGTGCAAAGGGCAGGCAGCTTGGAGGAGCGTGACCCACGCGGGCTCTGCCCCCACCTGTGTGCATGGCTGGAGTTGGTTCCCAGGTGTGCCAGGTAGCCTCCTCCCGGGTAGAGGGACAGCTGCCCCCACACGGGGTGTTCCCCCAGGCTCTCTGCGCCGTGGTTCACCCAGATGCTATCCTGTGCCCCCCTGCTCTGGCCAGGGGGACCCCAGCCAGGCCCATGGCCCCCTGCGTCCTGCTGGCGGCAGGAGCAGAGCTGGTGCTGGGGCTGGGGCCGGAGCTGCCGCAGCCGCACGCTGCCGAGGAGGAGGGCGTTTCCGTCTGAGATGAACCCTGCGGCACAAGGCGAAAGAGTCTCTGATGAGTACAAGGCGCAGGGGCATGGAGTGGCCGCAGCAGGCAGGGGGTGCTGGGATACTGGGCCCCACTGCCTACCACGGGCCCCATCGATTGTCACCGAGGCAGCCCCCCCCCCTCAGAGCCTGGGCTGCAGGTGCATCGTTTCAGAAAAACAGGGGGGGAGGCAAAGTTGCATCAGCCTGGTGCTAGGGTTACCACCTCTGAACTGCAAACTGATCAGCCCCCTGCCACAAGGCAGCTCCGCACCCCACTTCAGCAGCCGAAGTAACACGTGTTGAGAACCGCGCACGGCTCCTCACGCCCTCTCACGCGCACAGCGCTGGCGTGCTCGTGGTGGCCGACAGGTGCTGTATTTTCAACAGCTCCGATCTGCTATGGCTTAAACTGGGAAGTGGGAACACTGCAGCATCTCTAGCTGGACACAGAAACTTTTACCATTCGCTACGTCCGTGTATTGTGGTGATAATGCAAAGCTTTCGACCCAGGTAAAACCTGGCAGATTAAATGAGTTTTCTGGCAATGGCAAATACATAAAAAACGGCCAGGCCAGTCAAATCCCAGCGGGGTGGGAACCCTCCGGGTGGGGGTGTGTGGAAACCCTCCTCCCCCCCCCCCCCAGCCCAGTCTTGTTTAATCTTCTATCATTGCGGACCCCTGAAAACCTAGGCCTGGGGCCACGGCCCCTTTGGAAATCAGAGCTGGTCCGTGGAAGCCCAGCTGAAAGCCGCTGCCGGCTCTGCTGGTCTCTGGGAGCCCAGCCCCATGGGCCCCACTGCCAATGCCAGGGCAGCCCGCAGAGGTGAGCAGCAGAGGATGCACCACCCCGGGGGGCAATGAAGGGGAGCAGCCCCTCCCCCCAGCCACACCCTCGCTCTTCCACACCACGTTCTACTGTGCGGGGGGGTGAGGCGTTCCCCGCTCTGCCCACGTCTGCGTCCGCCCTGGGGACAGGGCAGGCCCTGGGGGGGGCCTGTGGCATGGGCAGAGGGTGGGGGCACTCACCTGGGCGTGGCCCGTCGAGGCTGGGCAGGAGCGTGCCGTGGGCCCAGCGATAGAAGTCCCCCAGGCCGCGGATGTGGTAGAAGTTGGGTGTGATGCTCTTGCGAATGGCCTCGTTGAAGTACAGCTCGTGGGGGCTGCGCTCCGTGTAGCACACGACCATCAGGGAGGCCAGGAGAACGAGTTGTGCTGCCGGGCAGACAGAGGATGGCCGCTCGGAGCCTGCCCAGGCAGGGCCGTCCTTAGGAGTTATGGGGCCCTACGCAGTATTATTAAACTGGGACCTACAGCGCCGGCGCCTTCGGCTCTGTGAATACAGCCCCTGCCTGCTGCCTAGTAAGGAGACTGCAACACACGGGGAGCCGACCCGCTCTGACCGACGCCGTGGGTGGGTGCTCCGGGGCTGGAGCACTCACAGGGAAAACTGAGTGGGTGCAGAGCACCCACCGGCACCAAGCTCCCCCCCTCTGTCCCCCTCCCCCCGCGCCTACCAACTCCTCCCGCTCCCTCCCAACGCTCCCGGACCGCCCCGAGCAGCTGATTTGCGGTGTTCTAGCTCTGGGAGGGAGGGGCAGGAGCGGAGACGGGGCGTGCTCGGGGGAGGAGGCGGGGAGGGGGTGGAGCAGGGGTGGTAAGAGGCGGGGTGGGGGCTTGGGGAAAGGGGTGGAGTGGGGGGGATTGAGCACCCCCCCGGCAAGATGAGAAGTCAGCGCCTATGGTCCCGGTGATGCCCCACATTTTTGGATGCCCTACACAGCCGTGCATGCTGCGTATGCCTAAGGACGGCCCTGTGCCCGAGGGAGGCCAGGCCTGACCCGGTCTCCTGGCGAAGAGCAGGTGCGTTCGCTGGGACGATGGGCACCTCCAGAGCCCACAGAGGCGTGTCACCCCCACTGCCTTTAGCGTCCTGGTGGCGGCCTGACCCAGCCCCAGCCCCAGCCCAGCTGGCGGGGGAAAGACCCAGCCCCCATGGGCCCTGGTGCTCTGTACCCCCATGGTTCCAGCCCCATGGCACTGGCCCAGTCCTGCCAGCAGGCTAATTGGGGCACTCCCCATTGTTGCACAGCCCAGCCCCTAATCTGCAGCTCCCCAACCCTGCTGGCTCCTTTCCCACGGGCCGTGGGTCTAGTGGGATCTTGTGCGGCTCGGCCCTGGCCCACTGCCAGCCCTGCCTCAGGCAGCCCCCAGCGTCCTGCTCCATGAAACTGGCCCGTGCTACCCTGCGCCCGGCTCGCTGCCTAGTGCCAGCTCACCGCCCTCGTTCCATGCTTGCAGCTGGTCTGCGTGCTGGGCTCCCGGGGGCTGGGGGCCCCTTGGCGGCGCTACTGTAATACATGTCACCGACAATGCCATGGGATGAGGTGAGTGGGGGCTCCAGGGCTGGGGGCAGAGCCTGCAGGAGCTGCCATCTCTCTGCCCCATGGCACTGGCTGCTGCAGCCTCTCGCCCTTGCTGGGGCCTGGGCAGAGCCGGCCCCGCCCTACCTACGATCTCTCCCAGCTGTGTGTACAGCTTCTTCTTCTTCCAGGTCCTCCCCCTTCGAGGGGGCGCTGGTCTTGGGCACGGGGGGTGGTAGACAGGGTCATTCCAGTCTCTTGTCCCAGGCAGCTCCAAGTAGGGGCACCTGGCTGCAGAAAGACATGTCAGGGCTGCAGCACGGGTAGCGGCCGCGAGGGCCTGCCGCGGGACGCCCTCTCTGGCGGCTGGGTGGTGGGTCGGCCTCACCCCGTAACGCTCCTGGACGCAGGCCGGCGAGAGGCTCAGTAACCAGGCGAGCAAAGGGCTGAGCCGATGGCGAGCCTGGGCCTGCAAAGTTACCAGCAGGAGCCAAGGGACAGGTATTGGCACCACACCCAGGGCCTATCTAACAGCCTGCCAAGGGAGCGGAGAAATCACTGAGCTTCAGTGAAGAGTGGTGGGGGACATGACTCTGATGAGGGCACCCTCTGGGGCTAGCAGCAGGAGCTGCCATCGGGTGGGTTCGTGTCTGGCAGAGAGGGGCCAGGAGCCCCGCAGTGCGCATACAGATCACACAAAATCAGATTAAAAATGGATGGAAGGAAACATGTTTTGCTCACTACCGCCCAGGCCTGTGGAACTCTCTGCCACAGGATATTAAGGCAGCCAGCTCAGCAAGGCTCCAGTTGAGTGAGAAGATTCTCTTCCTTCGTGCCCAGGGAGCAGTATTGCACCAGCTGGTGCATTCTGGGGCACTTATACCTCTATGAGCCCCAAGTGCTGGGCAGGGCCAGCTGGTACCATCAGCCTGTCCCGCTCAGGCAGCTGCTGTTCAGGGGTGTGACGCGAGTGTGGGTCCTGCCCCGCTGAAGGGCTCTGCAGAGTGTCTGGGACACGGCCTGGCATGTCTGCCAAGTGCTCTGACGGGCTGCACCTAAACACGGACCAGCCAACATTGCTCTGCGGCAGCTGGGCTCCATTTCGGGCCAGCATCAGGCAGCCATTGGGGCCAGCCCGCGGTACCGTCCGAGCCACACAGGGGGTGCAGCCCTGCAAGAGTCCAGCTTTGTGGTGCTGCAGACTAGGGTGCCCCTGCCCAGCCTGGCAGAGCCCCGTGCAGCCCCGTGCGCCGTGCAGCGCCTCCTGCCCTGGGTAGCTGGCTCAGGGTTTGCGATGCAAATGGGTCAGGGTAAGCCAGCTCTTGGCTAGGGACACAATGTGCTTTGCCAGGGCCCTGCCCCGTGGCAGCCATGGCTCTGGGGCAGCGCCATCAGCCGGAGTGTCTGGCGAGCTCCTGCACTTACCCAGGAGAGCCAGGATCCTCTGTAGCTGTTGCTCCTTCCCCTTGTCCTGCCAGAGCATCTTCTTCAGCACCAGTGAGAAGAGCAGGGTGAGCCCGGCCACCTGTGGGGAGAGGCCCAGGCTGTCAGCGCTGGGGCCTCCGCTGGGGCCCACAACTTCACCCTAATCGCCAGTGTCACTGTCCAGGTCACACAAGGTCTCCCGCCCACCTGCTAGCGGGAGAAGCTACACACGGGAGACAGAGACTGGTGGGTTCCCTGCGAGCTGCAAGGGCTGCATTCACACAGGGCTGGTAATCAGGAGGTGAGCCAAGCTGGGGCTATCCGGAAGTGGGGCTAATTGGTGGCCAGTGCAATAAGGGGATGGCTAGTCTGCCCATCACCTTTCTTTTGAGGTAATTAAAGAAAGAGCCTTTGGAGGAAACCAGCGGCTACTGGAGCAGCTTCGCCAGCCTGGCTGCTACCCCACCCTCTCCTGGGACCCTGGGCTTTCATTATCCTGCTCCTGAGAGAGGTCCTGGCCAGTGAGCGGGACCGAGACCAGCGCCACCTACACCGGCTGAATCCCGACGCCAGCAGGGAAAAGGAGCGCTGTCTGGGCTGGCTTTCACCGGGTCAGGGGTTACTGGGCTATAAAAGAACCCCGTCGTTACCCATTGCTGGGGAGATACAAGCATAGGTGCTGTGGGGCTGCCGCACCCCCTGGCTTGACGTGGTTTCCATCACATATGGGGTTACAGTTTGGTTCAATGGCTCTCAGCCCCCCCCGTACACATTGTTCTAGCCCCCCAAATACAAGCCACCAGAGCTCTTGTACCTCTGAGAATAGTGACTCTTCTGGGGGGCTGAGGTTGCTGGGAACTGACTGTAGGTGACTAAGAGTGTATCTTGCTGAAGTTAAGTTTAGTTTTCGAAGTGTATTTTCATTTTTGTTGGTTGCCTTTGTGAGTGTTACCCCTTGTGCCTGCACCACGGGAACCCTCTCACGTCTGCATTGAATACGCTGGTTTGCCCTGCTCTCTGAACCAGCCCCATGCTTTGATTCAGCTAAGAGACAGTTGACGCCAGTTGAGAAGAAGCTGCTGGGATGAGAGACGTGTTCCTAAATCCCATGTGTGCAGGTGAGTATGAATGACACGTTCACACATCCCAGGGGAGTGACGCGTTCCTGGATCGTGTGTGTGTGTGTGTGTGTGTGTGTGTGTGTGTGAGATCCCATGGGGGGGAGGTGGCGAGTTCCCAGATCCTGGGGTGTGTGTGGGAGGGGGTGGCGAGTTCACAGATCCTGGGGTTGGGTGTGAGATGCGTTCCCGGATCTTGGTGGGTGGGGGTGTGTGATGCTTTCCCAGATCACATGACGCCAGGTGAGACATTCCCAACTCCCAGGGCAGGGGAGCGGCAGACTCTGAACTCTAGAGAAGATCTGTCTGGCTGCATCTGCCTGTCAGGTGCTGTAGCTCACACCCCCCATGTCTCAGCTATCTCACCTCCACCCTGGAGCCCGACATGCTGCTACTGCCTGGGGCTGTAACCTGCCTTCTGGCGGATGCTCCATTGCTCCTGCCACTACCAGCCACGGAGCCTCCAGGACCCAGGGGCTGAATTTCCTCTCTAGGCGGGTGGCGCTCCAGGCCTCAGCAAGTCACCCCATGCACAGCGGGGATGAACTGGGCCTGCATTGCTGTGTGCTTCTCCCTCCAATGCCACTGATGTGCAGCCACCTCTGGGCTGGAACATGGATGTGTTTTAACAGCAACATGACAGCAGATTAATCTAGGAAGTGAGGTAGGATCCTGGATCCAATCACAAATGTGGAGAGAACTGCAGGAGGCCGGTAGGATTGTCTGGGCTGGGCTGCTGACTGTGTCGTGCCTGTGATTGTGCTGTGGCTGGGCCAGGCCTGTGGCTGTACCATGGCTGGGGTCCGTGGCTGTTCTGGGCTCGTGGCTCGGCTGTGGTTGGGGCCCCGGGCTCTGCT